GGCCTTTATACTCACCTGATTTAAACCCGATTGAAAACATTTGGACTTGGATTGACCGTAAATTAGCAAAGGTTCAAATTTCCACACTTACTCAGCTGAAGGAATTCCTTAAGGAGACTTGGTATGGGGTTCCAGAAGCGATGTGCAAAAATTTTGTTGAGTCTATGCCTAGAAGAGTTCTTAGTTGTATTAAAGCAAAAGGCGGATACACAAAATATTGATTGGTTCATAAATTACGCCTTCTAATGTATCGTGCGTCTAAATTTATGAATAATTTTTTTTTTCTAATTTTTTTAATACCATGTAGTTGTACCTAATTATTACTTAGTATTTCATTTTTTTTGTAAACTTTTTTAAAATTTGGTATTCTGTATGTATTTATCTAATAAATAGAAAAAAAACTAAACCAAAATCTTTTTTCGTCATTGTTTTATTGTTGAAAAACTAAAAATTTCTATTCTCAAATATGAGTGCGTCTAAATTTATGAAAACCACTGTATTAGTTTAATATTGTTATTACGAACATGTCACAAGATATCAAGTTCATCAATTTATAAGACACCATGGCTTATCTATGTTTAATGAAAAAGACAAACTTGATGTTCAAATTTTTATTTGTGAATACTTTTCTTTATTTGATGCTCAATTTGTAACTTTTTTTGTCAAAGTAATGTAAACGTTGATCTTTAAGTCAAAGAGTTGATGAAAAGTTTATGTGACTCATTTTCTTATTTGAGTATTTATCAAATAAGAAAAAGAGTTGTAAAGTAGCAGCTATCGACTTATTAACTAGTTCTTCAAATGAACTGTTATATGCTAGTAGTTGTAATCTTTTTGAAGATGGCAGAAGAAAAAATGTAAAAGTATTTCAAAGTTTATCTGTAAAGCAAACCTTATGATTTAGAACATGCTCAAAACACTTTAAAAAAGCTCTAGCACTCATATTAGATAATAATATGAGCAAATCTGATTACCAACACTTGAGAAATAATGCTGTGAGTAAAGGTTGTAATCTCTATCCTGCACACAATAATGTTCGTTCTGGTAAAGAATATTGTCTTCCTAAACTAACATTATGGACTATTAATAGTTTATCAAGAAAAATAAACTTTTAAGTATTAGTTGATCATACATCAGTTTGCCTAATAAAGTTGCAGAAACAAGTTATTGATTCCTTGTATGAACTTGAAAAATCATACATACAATAACACTACGTTTAATGGATCGACTAGCCAAAGGATTATTACTCAGGTAACTCAGTTGAGAAAGAAAACTAAAATATTTTAGAAGAAGCTAGTTTATTTATTTCAAAGTTGCTACAGCATTATCTAAAACAACTATATTATAAGTGTTGTTCAGTTTTATGTGTGTAATACAACAAAAATAAATAATCTTGATATAGCTAAAAATATGTCATTGACAAAAATAGGTCTCTGCTTTGGCCTTTTAACTTTCCATGCTTGGATTAAAATTAAAAGCATGGAATGTAATTAAAAGCATGGAATGTCTTAAAATTAATTATAAATTAATAGTGAAAAAGTGGTCTACAAGGACACCATTTGAAAAGAAAGTTATCCTGGGACAAAAACATAAAATTCAAATAAGGTTTCATTATGAAGGTGGACTGGTAATTAATATGCTAATTTCTGTTAGATAAATGTAAAAACAATTATAATTGATATGTTAATGTCTGCTGGACTGGTAATTGATATGCTAATGTTATCAAATTATGGAAACACTGCTAGAAGATTTTTTTAGAATGCAGAAAAGTTTGCTTAAATTCTTGAACATGATGTCAGTATGATAAAAATGTTACATGTTATTTTGTGTACATTGTCATCTAGCTTTTTAATTGATTCTATTATTTAGAGAATACTGCTACAAAACAATTGAAAAGTATGTAAATCTGTCACATTGTTTACATCAATGTTTACAACAATGTCACATTGTTTACATCACATTCTTATTCATGGTTGGCAAGTTATATAGAGAATGACTTTTAAGGCATATAAGAAGTTTCATGAATCATTTTCAAGAAAGATTTCATGTTTAAAAACAAATGAAGATTTATCGAGGCAACTAATGTGTTCCTCTGACCCTTTGATAAGTAGCTTGAGAAAATCATATTATCCTAAGAGCAACGTTCTTCTAATTGGCATTCTTGATGTACTCATAGAGGTTCCAATTTTTGACCTACTATAAATTGCAGTTGCATAGTTTTGATTTTAGTTGGTATTCAAGATGTTATTTACTTTGTTAGTATTTATTATATATATAATAAAATAATGCATGTCATGTAAATATGTTTATGTGAATATACACATTTGCCTGTATTCTTACATGTACTTTATAAAGTAATCTTTAGCTCTAATTGTATGAACACTTGTTTTTTTGATTTTTATTTGGTTTCTAAGGACAATTGAACTACATAGATTAGTTCGAATTTTATTAAATATATCGAATTTTATTAACTGTATCTATAAACTCTTAAAACTAAGGTTATTTTCAAAGTTTTTGTTTCATTTTTTAAAGAAATTTTGAGTAAGGCACAAGTTTCACAAAAAAATTAAATGACTGGTTTCTAAGAGCACAAAGCTGCATATCAACAACAAATATTAGTAACTTTTGTTTGAGTTATCATTCAAATACATAAAATACCATTGTAGCTTTAATATAAGTATAGTTTATAAATTTGACATTTTTAGAAAGCCTCTTAATTTAGGTAACTATGCAATATGCAATGCTGCTATGGAATATAGGTACCCATAGCAACTAAATAAACAATCTGATAGTAACATTAAATTTTTAGTATGAAATATGCTCAACCATTATGAGGAAAATCTAATAATATTTTAAAAGTTATTACTTTTGTCCAGCTAATAATGATTTTGGCACACTGTGCCTTGTTGAATAAAAAAAAAAATATATAATAATAAGATATTTAATAATAGATATTTTAAAGATATTTTAACAAGTTATTTTAAAGTTCTTTAGGTGCTCCGAAAATTCTTACAGTCTTTTTACAGAGCACTACAGAAAGCATTTAAATGGGAAGTTTAAATCTTGCATATATGTCCAGAGTCAGACATAAGAATGAATTCATAACAGACCTCCAGTTCTGAAGTCAGAACTCTAACCACTACACCCTTTTTTTGCTTTTTACTTAACCCATGAATATTACAGATTTCATGGATTTGATCTAATAAAAGGAAAACATTATCAAAAAATTGATAATTATTTATATACTATAGGTATTAATTTTAGGACGTTTGTTTAAAAACAAATTTACTAAATATTGCTTAAAGTGTCCCAAACGAAAAGAAAGTGACAGTTGAAGAATTTTTTAACTATTTTTTATTTATGAAACAAATTATCATTTGGTTGGAATAAAATAATTGAACTAATCTCTTGCATTGATATTAATAAATTCAATTAATGATTAAAAAATAATTAGTAACTTTATTAAACTTTAGAATTAGTTAATGATTATAATTTATTTTTCAAAAGAATTTGAAATCAAATATTATTTACCTAATTAATTACTAACTAATAATTATTAAAGTACTAAATTAGTTAAACAAAATAACGTGGTTAATAGTCAACAACACTCCAGATTGCTGTTTTGACCTCTCAAAATATGTTTTTACCAGTCAAGACTGACTGGTTAAAATCTAAGTTTTTAAAAAGAGGTTTTTACAAACAACCAGGATGTATTTCAGAAATACTAAATATTATTAACATTTAAAATGTTTTTGTTTTTAGACTAAAAATTTTAAAAATTGATCAAAAAAACTATTGTCATTTATGATTTTCTTTTAATTTAATTAGTTGATGCATATTATATACCTTTAGGGGGTCAAATAAAAGGGTGGGTAGGTATTTTTTACAGAACACGAATAAACAAGTTAATTTTAGTGCGGCTTGCAGTCAAATGTACATTTATTAACAGTTGTATCAAAATAATTCAATAAATTTAGTATATATACATAAGTTTTATGCTATGATGAGAAATAAACGAAAATCTAAATTTTGACAAATCGAAATTTAAGAGATTTTTTAAAGGTAGCTTTTTTTAAAGGTAGATTTTTAAAGCCTGATTATACTGAAAACTTCTTATCAGTGACTGATATATATTTTTTCTGATTTTTTTTTTTAGTTTTGAGATGTTTTTTTTGTTGATAACAAGTAAAAATTAAAAAACAGGATAAGATAGGGCCTAGAGGAGGAAGAGGGGATCTAATCTTAATAAGCACAGGGTGAGTGGGAAAAATTTCTGAAAATTAATAAACATTTCCTTTTGTGTATTAAGCGCCTAAGAGTACTTAAAGTAACAATCACTTGCACTAAGTAATAAAATTTATAAATTAAGAATGCTTTCCTGGGTAGTTTAACATTTAAATTATAAAAATCTTTTTAATTAAATTTCCCTTGTTAAATTAACAATTCTATAAAAATGTAATATTAATAATATACAAAAAAATTATAAAAAAATATAAAAAATTTTAATACTATATATAAAAATTAATATTAATACAATATAAAAAATTTAAACAAGTTAGTTCAAAGTAAAATGTACAAAAATACTAAACTCTAAATTTACTTCAATGTTTTTTAGACATGTTTGTTAGACAATGTAAGTTATTTCAAATTGTTTATTAAGAACATTAGTTATTTACAGTTGTAAGCTTGTGTTTAAAAAAAAAAGCAATTTGATTTAAAATTATGTTGGAAGTAATACTTCTACAGTATATTTTTATCTACAAAGTTCAGTTACTTAGCCAGTAATTAAATTGATTCATATGGTTGTAATGAAATGGGGTGTGTTTTAAAAAACATATAATGGCAAAATTACAATATATACTTATGTATATCGCTTGTTAACAATTAGTATTATTGTCAAATAGATGGATATATAAAAACAGCAAATTTTAGTCATATAACTATAGCTTCAACTTCTGTAAAACTTTGACTTTTTTATTTTTATACATTATATATCCTACCTGACGCTGTTGCATCAATGCTGCTTCTTCAGTTTGCACGCGTTCAATTTCAAACAACACAGGAAGGGCTAAAACAACAAATGAAGTTCCACAAATCCATAATGTGGATCTAGAAAACTTGTAAGCCTTGGTGATTCCTTTTAATGACAGTTGTGTAAGTTTATGTGTACCATTGCGCACTGTTTCTGGAAACATTTCTGTTAGGCCCCACAATCGCTCACATATTGTTTCATCTTCAATATCTTCATCGCTAGTGTTCTAAATGTAAAGAAAAGGAATATTTATAACAGTTTTATAAAAGAAAAGCATCAAGTAACTGAAGAAGAGCATAAATGGACATAACTTTTTATTAAAAGCTTTTATTTACCTAAATTTTCACCAGAATGTCAAAAAATTGATTTCATAATTAAAAACAAATGAATCTTTACTGAATTTAAGGAAACTTAAAAGTTAATTTTATTAAAATACGCATGTACTGAAGAAAAAAGTAAAATTTTTTTTTTTTTAAACAGAAAAAAAATTTAAATTTTTTTGAAGCAAATTTTGAAGAAAAAATATTTTAATTTAAATACTTTTTTTGTTGAGACCACAAGCTTAATAATCACTTAATAATCAATTTTTTCCTATTGTTGTTTCAGAATCCTGAACAAATCACATTTACTTTAACGTGTCATATATATATATATATATATATATATATATATATATATATATATATATATATATATATATATATATATATATATATATATATATATATATATATATATATATATATATAATTATTATCACTTTTTTCCATACATATCAATACTAATTAATTAAATATCATATAACCAATACTAATTAATTAAAAACATATTTGATTAAAAAAACAATACTTCAATGTATTATAAAGATAAATAATGCATTATATAGTTAATAATATATCAAAGATAAAAAAGATATATCAGATTTTAAACAAAAAGTTTAGTTGTAACACTTTGGCTTGATAATAATATATCTACGATTATCAAAGTGCATGAGATGTATGAGTTGTTGTACTAACAGTTTTAACTCACACAAGTCATGCCAGGAGAGGTCATCTAAAGATGGGTATATAAAAATGAATTCGTTTTGTTCTTTTAGAAATTTAATGTGCCATATTATCTAAAATTTCATATTCTTCGGCAAAGAATGTCTTTGCTCTAGCAGCAGAACGCAATTCTACAAAGACAAATAAAAATTGTTTGATAATGAACAAGACAGCATATTTATTATAAAGTAAATGATCGGATACAATGGCATAGGAACATGTATTGTTCTTACTCCCAACTGCAGGAATGAAAACTGTTAGTTACTGATGAACCCACTAAGCAGATTGAATTTCACTTTGCTCTATTAAGGTGTAATTTTCACTGATATCCATCTGATTTTAGAAGAATTAAAAATATACTTTGCGAACTTTGGCAATCCACAGTTTGCTTTACATTCCATAAACATGCAAGATTGGTTGTTTTGATTACACACAGATCTATCAACTATGTCTGACATAATTTTTTTTTTTTTTTTTTGAGGCATTTGTTAACCACCTGAAATTTTCATGGCATATGCAAAGGCAAATATTGTGAGGAAGATTGTTTATTAGCTTGACATAGAATGGCCTCAGATCGTAAAACTTAGATTTCCTTACTTTTAAATTAATATGCTCACTTTAAAAAAGTGAATATGCTTCTCCTATGGTCATTAACATGAAACGAATTAGTTTCTAAAAGAAAACAAAAATTGTTTACAAAAAATGGAAACCTTATCAAATAAAATGTGATTCCCACATATAAACGATGTGTCATACCTTTTCTTGTGTTTTCTTATTTATAGCAACGACTTTGCGCCCTGGAGCCATTCTACTGATATCTTCTGGCAAAAAAAAAATCAAGAACTTTGCATCCCCCAAACTGGCGTAGTCAGGCCCTGGATCTGAAATATCAGAAAGTAGTATGTTTTCACGTTTACAAACTTCTTTTAAAAGGTAATTTCTTTTGTTTGAACCCGCATGTAATGCTGAATTTTTTAAAGCGCCTTTCCAAAACTCTGCAGAGATAAAAAGGATTGTTCAATAGCAGATGTAGATTGGTTCACCTCCTGCTTTTGCTTCTTTCTTTTGAGATCATTTTGGTGTACTTCCTGTTAGGTCTTTTATTTTTCATTCGATTAGTTTCAGCAATCTGATATTCTGGATGTTTTTTTCCAAATTTTTTCTGAACTATTAAATGCTCAACTTTGTTCATTTTAATTTTTAATTCTTTTAAGCAACTGTTTTCAATCTAACTAAATTATACTTAAACTAAATAATTAGCAAATATGCGATTCAAATGTTATAACGCTAAAATGTTATAATCCCGCACGGATGAATATTTTTCTTTAATGCAAAAATACAATGCTAAAATGCTGTAGAAGAAAAAAAAATACTTTTGCCACTCAATCCAGTAACCTAAAAATACGCTAAGTAAAAAAAATCACTTTCATTAAAACTTTTTAACACTTCTTTTTCTAAATAATTAGATCTTTTAAATCACGCATAAAAATTCAAAACCCCGTTCACTTAGGCATAAAATTTAAGATACCTCCAAGATACTTAGTTGCAATATGATAATGAAATATTAAAAAACATCATTATCAAGAATCAAAAAATTTGGGCCATGAAATCAATTTTAAATGTTATAATCTCATGTAATAAAAACTTTTGTTTTTTATCTTAAACTTTTTATTTATTTATTGCGAAGTTTGAATAATTAAAATATGAAGAAACACTTGTCTTCTATAATATTTTTTTTGGATAATAAAAATATCACTTATCTTCTCTTGAACTCCATCTTCTGAATTAAAAAAAATATTTGTTTTAAATTTCAATTTTTTTTGACTCACTGGAATGGAAATGCATATTTATAAAAATGAAAAAACATTTTAGTTTGGATATTTTAGTTTTGTTTGGATTTTTGCACATAAATATTTTAATAATAATAAAAAAATTTAAAACTAGATTGCTTAGATTTAATGAAAACACTTTTTCTTTAAATTATGAAATAAATTTTTTGACATACCAGTGAAAATTTTGAGAGTTTGCATTTTCCATTCAAAAGTTAGGTCAACATTTATTCTCTTTCTGGTTACATTTAAATTGTAAATAGTAAAAACCAATTTTCAACTTAAATAACTTTATTTGATAATTTATATATTTGATTTGAATGTTTAAGAAACCCATAGCCTTTATGGTATCAGAAAAAGAAATTTTACTAATCATTATATATCGGAAAAATTTTTATAAATTTTTTTATATACAAACATACGCATAAAATAGTCACCAATCCGAAAGCATAAATTTAAATTTTTTTACCACTCACAAGATTGACTCAAATGTCCACAAGTTGAAACAGATGTATTTAAATATGAGTTAGGTTGTATAAAATAATGTGCCATGTTTATGCAATTTTTGCAAATGCATGTTACCAGATTAAAATATAAAAGCTTTTAGAGCATGAAGGGACAGATACAGTAAAAAGATGAATCTTTGCTGAATGACGAGTCAAGTAAGAATGAGTGAAGGAACTAGAGGTGATACCATCTTTGAGCAGTGACCATGTACTTATAGAAAAGAGAAAGTGATGCAACCTTATGACGATGAGAGAGAGGCTTAAGTCAGATAGAGCGGGTCTAACTAAGTTTACATTGCGCTTTATGGACATTGTCAAGAAGCGAAAGAACATCTTTAATATTCCATACAGGGATGAATAAAAGATTTGTAGGGTTAGAGAACAGAATCATTAGTAAGAAAATGGCTGATGAAGAAATCTTTCAGTCACAGCAGGCAGGAAGACAAGATTAAATCAAACACTTATTTAATAATTCAGAAAAAAAAAGAAGAGAGTTTTGGAGAACACTTCCGTTAGACTATGACAGGAATGTTGTCTGAGCCACATTCGTAGCGCACAACAGTCCGGATTTTAACAATTCATATGACAATTTAACCAATTAAGCTACCCAGCCATGATTTTGAATAATGCAGATGATGCAAGTAACCATTTAGAAAAAGTATAACGAAAATCTAAAATAAAAGTTTGCCCGAGAAATTTATTATTTTCTAATGGAATACAACATATAAATAAAATAAATAATTATTTCAAAATTTTAAATCTCATTTAACATTTATCACATTTTTCTAAGCTAATAATAGTATGAATAATAATTTTAAACAACTTTAAACACTTGCCTTTAGTTTATATGTTTGAAAAAAAGCCCAATGCTATGCTAATAGGGTTAAATATGGTAAAGCTACAGTTAATTTTCAATACTTATTAAAAAATCGGAATACCATGAAAACAAAAAAATGGAAATACCTCAAGTATTTCCATTTCTTTTGTTTTCATGATACTTTCCATATAACTATCGTGTAGCCTTAAAAACAATTAAACGTAGTTTATCCTCGCAAAGCAATGACCTCTTCAAACAATGTGTAATCGTAGTTTCTCAGTAAAACCATTACACAATAATATAAAACTTATTCATATTATGAATAAAATGTATGAAAATAACTTTTTGTATAATAAGGTGTAAAAATTCACCTCAATTTGTTTCAAATCATTCCGAGAGTATTCGGCCATCATACATGTGGACTTCTGTACGAAGCTCCTATTGCAACGGCAAAAACTGACTAGGCCGTGACCGAAATGTTTTAAAAGTGTGATGACCGAAATGTCTTGAAAAGCTGTTCAATAAAAAAATGAAACTAAATTTAGCCATTATCAAAAAAATCTATCAATAAGAGAAATTTATTTATTAAGACAGGGAAATAAATTGATAAACCAAAGTTAGATAAAACATTCTAGAATTATGGTGCGCAACATGAAATATAAAAATCAAATGTAACATAAATATAGGCGCAAAAATATTTTCTCACCTTTTTGATGTTTATTTAACATTTAGGCATTTTTGAAAAATCTTTTGCTTTTGTTATTTATAGTATATTATATCTTTAAATGTGTTATGTATATTATCGATAGAACTTTAAAAAAGTTTTAATTTGTATTTTAGAAAATTAAAAAAGGTTAAAAAAAAAAAAAAATTAAATGCGCATGCGACAGGATTTGAACCCCTGCGTTATAATTTGGAAGTGCAGTAAACTAACCAAATGACCACTAAAGCACACTAATCTAACAATTTTTAACACTATTTATTAATCAAAAAGCGGTAAAACTTTATAAAACGGCAAACAAATGCTATTAATTAAAACTAAGGACATATTGCTACAATGATTGTGGTTTTGCTGCGCTTCCAAATTACAACGTAGGGGTTCAAATCCTATCGCTTGCGCATTTAATTTTTTTTTAAAAACCTTTTTTAATTTTCTAAAATACAAAATAAAACTTTTTTAAAGTTCTATCGATAATATACATAACACATTTAAAGATATAATATACTCTTTAATTTAAATTATTTAACATTATATTATCTATATAAAAAATTTGTATGTTTAAAATATTTTGAGCTTTTACATATTGTTGTATAACGGTATTTTTTAGTTAGCGGTATTATTGTTAACGGTATGTTATTGTATTCCTTAAATACCTGGTTATACTTTTATTATATTATTAAACGGTCCTCGGTGACAGGACCTTGCGATCCTCTTCGAGTTTCCGTTTTTTTAAATTTTATGTAGAACGCTATTTTACCAGAATATGTAGTAGTAAAAATAAAAAAAAATTATATATAAAAAAATTTTAATTTAAAAAAGTAAAAGTTAAAAAAAAAAAGATAGGCGTATAATAAGTATAATAAGTTTTTGTTGCTTAACGTGTATTTAGGTACAAATAACGTGTATTAGGTGCAAATAACGTGTATTTATGTGCAAATAATGTGTATTTAGGTGCAAATAACGTGTATTAGGTGCAAATAACGTGTATTTATGTGCAAATAATGTGTATTTAGGTGCAAATAACGTGTATTTAGGTGCAAATAACGTGTATTAGGTGCAAATAACGTGTATTTAGGTGCAAATAATGTGTATTTAGGTGCAAATAACGTGTATTAGGTGCAAATAACGTGTATTTAGGTGCAAATAACGTGTATTTAGGTGCAAATAACATGTCAGAAGTATAAAAATCATTTTAACAAAACAAAAGTTTATCATAAGTAATTAAATTGCTCATTAAAAAATATCATTGAAAAGAAACAAAAGAAGGTATTGGAATAATTATTATTTATTTATTTGCAAAAACAATTTTTTTTAAACAAATCTTGGATTTTGGATGAATACTAAAACATACAATTTAACTTGAATTGTTATCGAACATAAAAACCACGAAAAAATCTGCATCAAAAACTGGTGCAACAAATATAAAAATTAAAACTTTTATTTAAAACATTCAAAATGTTTTATCCAAAAATTTTTATTAATCTCTTTACTTAATGGTATCCTTTAGACTGTTTATGAATCTCATTCATAATTTGAATAATTCTATTTTTATCCAAGCTCATATTGATTTTATTGGATTCAAATTGGGTGATTGAGCTGGTAAAGGCAATAAATCTACTTTACTTTCTTTTATCCATACTTTGACTGTACAAACAGGAGCAAGTTTAGGGAGAGGAGTTTAACCCCATTAAATATTCCAATTTTACGGAATATAGTCTGCTAGACATTATTTGATACATTTAAATTAGCGAATTTTTAGTTTTGAAAACTATTTGGCATTTTTTAAGGATGCACCCCTTCCACTATTTTATTCCTAGAATCGCACCTGTGTACAAGTTATGGTCAGAAACATTTTCTACGTCAAATCTATCGCCATTATTTAATTAATTTTGTTTTGTATTATTTACATTTACATTATTTTGTAATTTAACGTTATCTACGTTAAATCTATTGCCATTAGTATTGAACAACTAGCATGTCTACTAATAAAACTATGCGACCTTTTTTGCGACCTTTGTACAAAAAAGCAAGTAACTGCTTTTCAGATGTTTTTTATATTAAATGCTTCAAAGTTCTATTATTATTAAAAGTTAATCGTTTCTACTTTCTGAAGACCAACCAAATCTCTCTTAGCTCACAAGATAAAGTACCTTTATCTTGTGAGCTAACTTTTACCGGTCAGTATGGGTTTTCTAACAGCTGCATAAACTGCATAACAACTGCGTTCAAATAAAATGATTGTAACTGTATTTAAACAAATACTTCTTTGACGTTTTTTTTTTTTTTTTTTTTTTGTTCTTATTACAATATATTCAAAGAAAAATTAATTAATTTACAAGTCAAGTGCATATATAGTTAATCACATTTAAGTGCATGTTCTTATAAATATTCAACTGAATAAACTAAAATAATACATCAAATTAAAAACGTTTAAAAATATGACAATATATCATCATGAGACAAAATGATTTCTTTAAGCTTATTTCTGACTGAAAAACAACTCCATTGCAAAGAAAAATTAAAATGTTTTAAAACTATTTTCTTCCAAAGAAAACCTCCTCGAAAGGAAATACTAGATTTTCCAAAACTAGTCTGAAAAAATGGTTGACGAATTAAATAATCATTTCTTAAATTGTATTTATTTTTATATTTGAGTGTGTATAAATTATGGAAAGAAACTGGGGAAGAGTTAGTTTTACATTTATACATAAAACAAAGAATATTAAAAATATTCAGCTGATATATATTAAGAAATTTCATTTCAAATAAAAGAGGCTTGGCATGAGTAAATCTGTTTTTAAAATTAATAAGACGAGCAACATGCTTCTGTTGACGATAAAGAGGCTCCAGTTTACATTTAATGGAATTGCACCAAGCAATATTTTCATAGTTTAAATGACAATGGATAAAAGAGAAATATAATTGAATTAGACTACGTTTATTTAACACACCTCTAGCTTTATACAATATTCCTATACTTTTAGCAATTTTATTACACAAGAATTTAATGTGGTATTTCCAACTAAGGTTTTCATCAACATAGATACCCAAAAAATTAGCACTAATTACTCTTTTTATTTGGATTTTATCAATAAAAAGTAAAGGTAGTTCACAAGGAAGTATTTTTTTTTAGACGCTGGATGAAAAAGTGTTCATTTTGTTTTTTCAACATTTAGTGAAAGTTTATTCATTTTAAACTAATCAGATATCTTTGTTAATTCCATGTTCATATCTCGAAATAATGTAGTTATGCTATTATCAGACAAAAAGAGGTTAGTGTCATCTGCAAACATGACTGACATCAAATAAGAAGCTTTATGATGATATTAATATAAATTATATCATTAATATAAATGAGAAAGAGAAGGGGTCCTAATATCGAGCCCTGCGGAACCCCACAGGTTATGTTTAATAAGTTAGATGGGTTAACTTCATTACTATAAACAAACTGTTTGCGGTTACTTAAGTAACTTTGAAGTAACTTTAAAACATTTCCTTTAATTCCATAATATTTAACTTTTTTAAGGAGAATTTGGTGATTGATTGTATCAAAAGCTTTTGATAAATCTGTGAAAACTCCCAACGTATATTGGGAATTTTCAAACGATTCAGAAATACTACGAGTTATATGGAGTATCGCGTGTTCTTTGGCTATTTTAAGATGGTCTGGAAATATTCCCTGTTTTATTGAATAGTGAAAAACTTTAAATAGTACATCTTTTAAATGCTCATACGAGTCAATGACCACATTACTGAATATATCGTCGTGACCGACAGATTTATTAGACTTTAGCATTTTAAAAGATTGCTCAAATTCTTCAAAAGATAATTCAAAGGAAGTTAGAGACGAATTTAACGAAAAATCAAAGTTATTTATTTTATTTATCACAAAAGGATTTTTTTTTCCAAGATTTGGGCCAACTGACACAAAGAATTTATTTAATTCATCACATATCATTGTTGGATTGGACAAAAATTCATCATTAATTTTTAAGATTACAGGCAGTGTGCATGTTTTTGTTTTTTGCATGCCAGTAACTTCCCTTAGAATTTCCCAGGTGCGTTTAGAATTATGTTTGTTCATTTCAAGTAGATTGGAGTAGTTCAGTTCTTTTAAATTCTTTCTTTGTGTTTCAAACTTTCTGACATAATTTTTGTAAAGAATTTTACTTTCTTGTGTTTTTTGTTTTCAAGTATTTAATATATAATTTTTGCTTAATTTTAGAAGATTTTCTGAGATCTTTTGTGATCCACGGTGACATTAAACCTCTATTTTTTTTTTTGAATACAGTACATTTTGGAAAATTTACGTCGTATATTTCATAAAAAGTTTTAAAGAATGCGTCATAAGCTACATTAGCGTCAGCAGAAGCATTTACGTTTTTCCAATGCAGTAGGGATAACTGTTCTTTAAATAAATTCGCTGAAGTAAAAAAGCGTTTTGTAAACGTTACATTCTGTTGGGGTATTTTTGCTGTGGCAATGTTAATTGAGAAAAAAATTGGGAAGTGATCAGAGATGTCACATTTAATAATACCTTTTTTAAGAGATTTATTAAAAATATCAGTTGAAATGATATTGTCTATTAAAGTAACTGATGTCTCAGTTATTCTAGTTGGTTTATTAATTAACGGAAACGCCCCATGTTCAAATAAATCATTATAAAATTTTTTAATCCCACAATTGGTTTGGTATTGAAAACAATCCAAATTAATGTCACCTATTAGGTAGTATAATTTCTTTTCTTGAGTGCTAATTCTTAAAATATCATTTAAAAATAAACTGAATTTTTTA